GGGGGGGGTGTCAGTAGAAAGTTGACAGAAGTTGACGTCAACCTTGATGCTCTAAAAGTTTGGGAGAAAAAGGAAAGAACAAATATTATAGACCACATTTTCTTGGCCCACAATTAACACAGTTAAATTGGACCATATTATTTTGATAGGTTTAAAGTTGTTTATAAATATTTTGACAGTTCGTGTTGTATTCTTTAATAAACGATAGTTTTATTTTTTTAAATTGAAATAAAGATCGAAGGTGTAAATATATAATGTATCCTGTACAGGTTCTATCTAAATGTTAATGTAAGTACATTTTGGTTGACGTCAACTACGGGGAGATTGGCTATGTGTGTGTGGGAAAGGTTGGGGGGATCCTGGGAAAGATGACAGAAGGTGATAAGGGGGGGGGGGGGGTTACTTTTGGGCAAATTTTAGCTGACGTCATTTGTGAACGGTTCCTTAGACCAGTTGTCCTTTCACTCTGGAATGGACAGAAGTTACATCACACAGCGCTGGGTGGTGTGGAACCACTTGAGGAAAAAACACGTATAAATTTGCAATACTTTGTAGGGCTTAAGCTGTTTCGTGGGTCCTGTCCACTCAAACAAATGGCTCTGTTTCATGTGAGCAAGTCCCTGAGAATGTATGTCAGGAAGCAAAGTGTAAAGCTGGCATTTATTTCGGGCATCAGAAATTGTGTAAAGACGTGGTGGAATCAGTCAATTGTTGGTAACATGGGGCTATTGGCTTTATCTTAAAGCCTGTTCATTTGTCTTCTTTTTGATGAAAAAAATTCCATCTATGTTCAAAAAGAGTCGAATTGAAGGACGTCAGGGTCGCCTGGTTTCAGAGGTAAAATTTGTGAGAAAATGGCCCCAAATTTTGGAAACTTCCATAGCCTGAGAGTCCTTGGAAACTGAAAATTTACATTGTTGTACCTTTAATCAATGGTTTTCAGTAAAATCGACCGAAGAATGTGTTTTAAAATGGACATAAAAGGTGTTGAGCTAAAACAAAAAAAAAGAAAAACATTTTTAAAAAATTGCCAATCAGCCCAAAAAAATGTCAATTTCTTGGATTTCATTATTTTGACGAGCGCCTGATTTCAACTTGCCTCATAACTTATGGCATCCTTCATAGGTTTCCCATGCTCGTCTTGTATCACAGGCATATTTTGTTAACTTTTCAAAACCCACGCAATTACTAAATATACTAAATTACTAAAAAATACTATTTTTCATTACTAAAGAAAATAACGGTCTAGCACTCACATAATGAAATCGGCTAGACGCAGAAATAATAATATTTTCAGTAATGAATTTCATTACGTACGCGTTTTAAATACAAAGATTATATTTATATTACACGGATAATAAAATAATCAGGATTAAAAAGTTTCTTTGCAATGTGTGTGTTTCGCAGTGTGGATGTTTGCTATTTGCATGAGAGACTGTCCGTAATGACAAACAGCATTTATATAAAACAGCAGGGTCCCAGTGAGACACGAGGTCTGAGAACAGTGCAATCACGACAGCCCTGTCTAATTCAGAGGCCAGCTCCAACCACTTTTATTGGTATTAGCACCGAGATCGTCTGTCTCACCATAGCTGTGAGGAGCCATGGATCCATGATGCGAACCCCATCCAACAGCCCACACAAACCCACCGCTACTCCCATTACAAGTTTTTGTGTTGTATGAGTAGTACGAGGCCAGCTCTTCGTCTTCGCGGGCAATCCCAGTGCCAAGAGTGATCCGTTTCTTATCCATATGGGGATGAGAGATGACAACCGATAAGCTGTGGACATTTTCAGTGCGAAAATATTCATCACAATGTCCCGTTAATTCAGCCCTTCTTTTACAAAGGGTTCTGAGTCTTTTACAAAAGTCAGCATCGTGGCTCACGCACATGAACATACCTCTATCGGCTGCTAAACTGCTGTCTCCCATGGCATGGCCTTTAAGTGTTACGGGGTCATTTTTACCGTTCTCCTCATCCCAGAATATTACATCAGTTTTGACACATTCACTCTCATCAAATATGATATGTGCGGCCGTCATTATAATAATCTCCCACCACACTTTACACGGATTCGCAGATCGCTTGCATTCTGGACATTTGCAAGGACCATTTTTCTCCTTTTTCTTTTCTCCGCACTCCTCCACTTTCCACACCCACCCACTCCCACCCCGTCGACATGGTATTGTGCCTCTGATATTAAAAAATGGAAATGGTTTTTCTGAACTAGGATATTTTTCCGGCCGATCACGGCTAGTAAAACAAACTCTGAGTAGAACAGTCAACTCGGCACATGTCTTGATAGCCCGGAGTAATTTTATGTATCCATAACCACTAGGCAAGAGGCGTTTCTTGAAGTCGTGGACATGGAAAAACTCGTAGTGTCCACGATTTTTTTTGCAGTCCTTCATCAGTGTATCTGAGTCTGCCTCTTCCCCGAACCAGACCTCAGTCTCAAAGTGACCTGAAGACAGAAAAAAAAGATAATTTTTTAATTATTTTTTTTTGGGGGGTGGTGGTTTGCAATTCATTGCCCTCGTAGACAGAATACATCTTTTTGAAGCCAATATTTCTCTAAAAGTCTTTTAAAAGTGAAACTGGCCTGTCTCTTCCTCATTGTTACTGTTTGCCCTCACTTTGTTTTTCATCTTTCTTTCCATCCCGCCCTCTCTTTTCTCCAATTCTTCCACATAGACCTATTCATAATCTTTCCTCACCTAAAAATTCCACTTCATGTTCTCCTTTCTTCCTATTTTTTCTTTTCCCTTTCCCTGATTCAGTGGGAGGTTGGTTGATTCTCTGGTGTGGTTTGCTCCTTCCTTCCTATAAAAAAATCTATCGTCCTTATCTCTCCTCCTTTTTTAAAATGTATTTTACTCTCTTGAAACACATCTATTCTTCGGCACTTACATGACCTTATTGTGCTGCAAGTGCCGTAAAACTCCTCCTAAAACTAAAAGTTTCCCTGATCCCACGCTTGCTGAAAAAGAAGATATAACACTAAACAAAGGAATCAATGACCCCAGCATAGGTACTTCTGATTATGATACTTCGTCCGGACTAGATTTCTCCAGAGGAGAGACATTTCCTTTTCTGCTTACCACAGAAAGAGCCCAGGGGGTAGCTGACTATAAGATCTTCAACTCTCAGTGCAGTCGCTTTTATGTCTAGTAGCTACAACAAAATGTGCAGCATTTTAGATTTTCAAATTAGCTGTTAATCTTAGAGTAAACACACAGGAGAATTTTTTAAATAAAGATGAATAAATAAATGAATAAATAAATAAATAAGTAGTAGTTTATTTCACTTTTATAACGTTTGTTGATAAATTACACATCAAGTGTTACAATACATTTTAGCCTCCAACTAGTGATGATAATAACTCGTTAGTAGTTAATTGTTCTGATCATAATAGTCCTACATTCCTCTGCTCTTTCGAGTCACAATGTAGGTACTCTCTGTTACGTTACCTAGATCTCTCAGAGTAGTTGATTTTTAATGTAGAAACTTCGTGGCTATTATCGTGCGGGTCACCTTGCACAGACCAATCACGATCTGCTCTGTTTATATCCCACTAATTTTCCCCCTCAAAATAACTCAACTAAATGATTTAAAGTTCTAGCTCCCAAATCCCTTTAGTTTGCTTTGAATGCCCACAACCCCTTGTGGGGAGATAAATGGGGGGG